CCCAAACAAAGGACACACACATGAGGAGAGAGGCAATTGTTTGGCCTCCTTTTCTGTAGTACATCACAAGTGTTTACCTTCCCTAGGAACACTTCCCAACAGAAAGCTTGTACTTTTGGAGGGATCGGTTTAGTTTAAATTTTTCTCACTGGAAAGTTCACCCCCATAGGGTTAATATGAGTGAGCAAACCAAAAAAAGATGCACAGGAAAATAAACCATCAGAAGTTGGGGACCACAATCTACAATCAGCTATAGATTGGTCCCTCTCAAGTGTTGAAATCAACAGCACTAGTGACTCACACTCATTTTCCCTCAACCCTCTTCTAAAGCCAAAATCCCAAGAGATCCCTGATTCTGAAAGCACACCAAACCTAGCAACAGGTTTGTTTTCATAGTTTGATAGAGACTAGAGGTCTAGGAAATTAAACATAAGAGGCACATCCCCAACCCAAAGGTCTTCTCAGAATAAGACTTTGTTGCTACAACCAACATCAAATCTGATAAATTGAAGAAAAGTTGGATATACCTCAAAGATTGCCTTCCAAGGAGAGGATGGAGCTGCATTGGGGGCTAATTTTGCATCCCAGCCGTTATCTGCATCRCCATGTAAGCTTTTAATGAYYCTGTGCCACAACCTTTCTTCCTCACAAGGGAATCTCCATAGCCATTTCCCTAGGAGGGCCTTGTTTCTCTTTATTAGGTTCCCTATACCTAATCCACCTGGTCCTTAGGGTAACAAACTTTCTCCCATTTCACTAAACAATCTTTCTTTTCTTCACCCGGCTCCCACAAAAAGTCACTCATAATCTTCTCCAATTTCCTAGCTATTTTCATTAGGATCTTAAAGGTGGAAAGGAAGTAAGTGGGAAGGTTTGCAAGGGTTGATTTTATCAAGGTGATTCTTCCCCCCAAGGAAATATAATTTCTCTTCCACATTGCCAACTTTTTCATGAACCCCTCTACCACTGGTTTCCAGAAGCTTTCAGCTTTCAGATTCCCGCCCAAGGGCATTCCTAAGTATTCCAGAGGCCAATTTTTCAATTCACAACTTAGCAGATGGCTTGGATATTCCCCCCCCTCTTCAATGTTGATTCCGGCTACACAACTTTTTCCCCAATTGACATTCAGTTTGGAGGCCTGCTGAGCTTTGGCCTGCTCTGCTTGGGCTCACAAATTTGTAGTTGATCTCAGGCTCATTTTGCCAAGTTGCACCCAGACTCGACTTACCTTATTTAAGTCATTGATTTTATAATTTACATTGGATATATTGGAAACCAAATAAAGAGTCATTGATTTGAGGCACACAACTAATACATAGACAAGAATCAAAAACACAAAAATTATAATTTTTATACTTATTATGTGCTATATATTTATTATATAAAATATAAACTATAGTATTCTAATGAACCGAGCTTAAATAGAGCAAGCCCACCAAGCTTAAACTGCTTAATATACCATTCACATACTAAATGGATATGGGTATGGACTGTGCCTAGATATGGATATGGATGCAGCCACATAGACATTGATAAAAGAAATGGAAGTACAACTCTCCATTTCTTGATATCCAGTGCATGGATACAGGTACTGATGTCCCATTTAATATTCTTAAACCAATAAGCCATGTTTTCATATCTAATCTTTTGGAGCTAAATATCATTTCTCAATACTTATATCTTTCCAAATTTAATTAAACTTCTGATTTTATAGGTATTTTATGGTATGATTTATTAAAATAATACCATTTATATGTTTTAAATTTTTGGTATGGTTTTAGATATCATGACAATGACCAGGTGTACCAGTTCTGAGTCAATTAATAATCGGGTTATATAAGATAGACCTAGAACCAAACCAGTTATTAATCAGGGTAATCGGGTCTGACCTGATGATAGTTGACATCCATGATTACCTATGGTAATAACAACTTAGAACTTCATTTTTTATAATGTAACCTCAATAAAAATGACAGTAAAATGGTAAATTAGTTATATGCTGGTAAAACAAGTGTTTTTAACCAAAATTATCTTATATACTGTCTATGAAATTTAGTGTTTTAGATGTAAATTGTAACAAAAATTACAAGGAAATCAGGAAACCTTTATATATTATTAATAATATAATCGGTTTGGGTCTTAATCAGTTCAGACAGAAAGAGCTGGTCCTGACCCAATTATTAATTGGGAAACACACACAACCAGAACCAACACAGTTGGTTTGGTCAGTTTGGTTTTGTTGGGTAGACCCAACCTTGATAGCTCTATGGTCATATTCTATGAATGCATATATACATAAATAAATAACTTTCTATGTAGAATCAAATATATACACATAAATAATAAGCAATATATTCAACTAAGAATTTGAATCTGGATATAATTAGTTTTAGTTCATAACTGTTTGGGAATGGCTCCTGTGAGTTCCAATTTCCCTGATCCACCCTGAATTTAGAGGCAATTGAGTTCCTCCACCAGGAATTTCTTTCAGAAGCAAACCTCCTGCACCACTTAGAAGAAAAAAATTTACTACCTTCAACTTTCTTAGGCCTAGAACCCCCTCCCCCTCCTCCCTAGGCAAACAAACTTGATCCCAACAAGATGGATTTTTCTCTCTTCTTCCCATCCCCTCCAGAGAAAATTCCTCTACAGATTTTCAAGCTTCTTAGCTACTTTGGCTGGAATGGGAAAGAGGGATAGGAAGTAGGTGGGAAGATTGGCCAGAGTACTTTTGATAGGAGTCACATTACCTCCAACAAATAGGTACTTAGCCTTCCAAGAGGCTAGTTTTTTCTCCACTCTCTCAATAACTGGATCCCAGATAGCAGAAGAAAAGCACTTAACCCCAAGGGGAAGACCTTCACAAGAGAAAAGTCCACCTGGCAGGCCACTAAGCTAGCACAATCTTCCAAGTTTGGAAAAGGACCCACTGGAATGATTTTGCTTTTGTGAAGTTTAACTTTAAGACCTAAAACCACTTCAAACCAGCATAGTACTCCAAGTAAGAGCTCCAACTGGTGAAATTGGATCTTTGGATGCGTTAAGAGTTGTCATTACTCGATTCTGGTCAATGGGATTATGAGAGACTTCTTTCCACATTGTAGAGGTTTGAGGTAGGGAAAAGCCCTTTCACCTTTCCTGTTCACCCTAGTTGTGGATGTCTTGAGTAGAATGATTTCTAAGGCTGAAAGGGAGAATAGAATTAATGCTTGGAAGGGATAGGTTACCGATTACTCACTTACAGTTTGTAGATGATATTATAATCTTTTGTGAAGGGGGAGATCAACTTTTGATGAGGAATTTTGAACTTGTCTCCAATCTTAAAATCAATCTTGAAAATAGCTGTATAGCGGGACTTAATATGGAAGAAGGAGAGCTTATAGTTGTTGCAAATGTCCTAGATTGTTCCATCTCAAGTTGACCTCTAACCTACTTAGTGCTTCCCCAAGGTGCACACCCTAGAGAGTAGATTTTGGAGTCCAATCTTTGAGGTGTGCCAAGAGACTAGCAACCTGGAAAAGAAGTTACATCTCAGGTGGGGGTAGGATTACTTTGATTAAGTCCACACTTGCTAATCTTCCAATCTACTATTTGTCGATCTTTAGGATCCCTAAAAGGGAAATAAATAAGATAGAGAAACTGATAAGGAACTTTTTGTGGGAATCATGAGAAGATAAAAAAGACCACTTGGTTAATTGGGAGGTTGTGAGTAGAAGTCTAGAAGTAGGAGGCCTGGGAATTGGGAATGTGAATAAAAAGAATTTGAAGTTGTTAGGAAAATGTTTATGGAGATGGCCACGGGAACCGGACAGACTCTGGCATAAAGTAATAGCCAGTATTCATGGTAGATTGGGGAATGGCTGGGATGCAGGTGTCTCTAACCGGGCTACATTAGCATCTCTGTGGAAGGAAATTCATGGTATTCTGCCCACTCTCCTCCAGTTTGTCAGGTATGATGCTTGTTCAGGGGATACTGTTAAATTTTGGGAGGATGTCTGGATTGGGTCTTACCCTCTAAAGGATCTCTTCCCTTGGGATGCAAAAACTCTAGACCATTTTTAGATGACTTAATTTGTAAAAGTATGTTAACTGTAGGTGTACATGGAATGGTGTTCCATATAAATATTTATACTTTCATCTATATTTTAAATCTTTTGCTGCACTCCACATAACAAGAACTACAGTATTTGTTTGTATCTCAAGTCTTTTTTTTTTTTTCCTGCAGTGACTTGGAAGTGGATTATGAGTCTGAGGAGAATGCATCCATGGTATATGCAGCATTGGCTGTTGATAAGGAGGTGAGCTTACATTACTTAATTTTTCTCCTGGTTATCTAATAGTTGCTGTAATGATCTAGTGGCTGATAATTAATTTTGAAATCTAGTGGCTGTTGATAAGGAGGGGAGGGCGGGTATAGGGAGAGTTTTCAGGAACCATCTAGGTGCAGTTGTGGCTTTATTCTCTGGGCCAATTGGATTTGGCAACTCGGTTAAGGCTGAGACAATGGCTCTCTTACAAGGACTAAAACTGGCAACACAGATGGGTGTTAGAGAGCTAGAAGTGGAAGGAGATTCCTTATTGGTTATTTCTTGGGCTAAACAAACTAGTTCAGCTCCTTGGAAATATAAATTTGCTTTCAGGGAAATTGACAACCTTGCAAAAAGTTGTAACACTATGTTTTGGATGGGTAAAAAGAACAGCAAATGGACTGGCAGATGTTTTTGCAAAACAGGGAGTGGACAGATCCACTCTATTTTGGGCAATGTTGTAATCTGTATTAATAAAAGGGGGGCATGGTAATCAGGGTGGCCATTCTGGTTTCCAATGTATTTGGGCTACTGTGTAGCAAGGATCTGTAATTTTTTTCAAGCATTAATAAATTACTCCTTGTGCTGATAAAAAAAGGACAGCATTATTCCTTGAACTATTGATTTCCTTTTTCCCCTATTTGGTTTTAATTAGACTTTGATTTCCAATTCCAGTTGCAGCCAGACAAAGTGAGGAGGAAGATGTCTGTGGCTGATGGAAAGCTCTCAGTGTGAGTTTCTTTTCTAGTGACAACCATTACCTTGTTTCTTATCCCCTTCTGTAAAGATTGGGAACTATGTTTTCAGGATACTAGTCTCTGTTTCTCTCCCTCTTAAATTGTGATGGTATCAGGTCTTTTAACTCTACTATAAATTGATGTTTTTTTTTATTTTTTTGATCAATAACAGTGAATTTTATTAAAGGATTGAGAAAACTATAGAGCAAGGGAGCTAAACAATCTTAACTCCCGAATACAAGCCAAGGTACACCCAAAATATAAAGCAATTACAACACAGCCCATAAGATAAAGTTTCTGTTCACCCCTTGCCTAGCTAGACCATCTGCCAATGAATTTGCACTTCTCTTTACCCATGTACATTGAATTTCAAGGTCCTTAGTCAGCCACTTAAATTTACTCTTTTCATATCTGTAATTCCAAAGCTTAGAGTTGTCCTCTTTTAGCTAGTTCACCACAATTTCAGAATCTCCTTCTATGATCAATTTATTAATATTCATGTCTTTAGCCCTTTGTACCCCTTCAAGAGCTGTTAGTATCTCACCCCCCAAGGAATCTCCCACCCCAAGTGGACCAGAATATATGGCTAACAGATTCCCTACCAGATCACTCCTTCCTACTAGGCCAGTATTGGCCTTCTCACATGACTCAGCCATCTTATTATTGACTATTGACTAGATGTGGTACAGAAATGTCTTTAGGCTCTATTTTACAAACTAAATACACACACGAAAGGAGATTACATTTTCTTAATATATGTATTCAGACAATATACATATCATCAGTTTGATTGTAAAGTCAAAAGTTTCTACCACCTTTTCGGTTCCTGCCCCTTATGTATACATGTCTGTGTGTGTATGTATATTATGTGCATCAATAATCTAGTACTCTTAAAGTACTATCAACTTTGCTCCCATATATAATATATATACTAATACAAAAGGCAGTTAACCTTTGTTTTTTTAAAGATGCCCATATTAGCAAACCCCAAATCTAAGAAGCAAGAGCATTTTTAAAGCAAAAAAAAAGAAGAAATTGGGCAAACCCAAACCCAATCTGATCCAATGTCATCGGATTTTATTAGGGTTAGGGATGGGAGTTCCAACAACTTTGGTGGTATTTGGTACTGTGGCAAAACCTCATTTTACTTGGTTCCGGAATGCACCATAAAGAAAGCACACATTCTTTTAAGCCGTGGCATGTTCTAGAATTGGCTTTGCTTGGTTTTGGAACTGAAAATATCATGGATTTTGGAATACACTTATTTCTTGTGTTCCAAAACACACCAAACTGTCTTTGATCCAATACACACAACACAGCACAGATAGTCCTTTTTATGTGATGAGTTCTGGAACACAACACACCACAGCATGCAGAACATCACCAAGGATGTGGTGAGTTCCAAAAGCATGGTTTTCACATTATAGTGGGGGCCAATGTTCTGGAATGCACTGCACTTTCTTGTGACAGCAATACAGAACACCCCTTTGGATTAGGGTTGACCTTAAACCAGCCCAAGTTGCACCAGTTCTAGGAACCATAAAATTTGACTGGTCGCACTTTAGGCAACTAGGTTCTTACAGGCACTAGGGTAGTATTTATAGATCATGAAAGCACTATTCTTTTGAGTTTTTCAGGCCTGACGTGTGAAGGCAACTCAATTAGGGCAGAGCTATTAATCCTTTTGCAAGGTCTAAAATTTGCAAAGCAGCAATGTTGGACAGGTTTGGTGATAGGCAATTGCAGAGTGATAATAGGTTGGGTTAAGTCATCAGTATCTGGTCCCTGGCTTCAACCGTTTTACTAGGGAACCTAGAGCGTTATCACCAACCTCATTCAGGTTGGTTCCTACGTCTTCTAGGCTCCTATCTATTTCCCTTCCTAGAGATGAGGTTGTAAGATCTGCTCACATTGGGGAACAATCCCTAGGCCTAGGGTTATAGCATTTTATCTAAATCTGTTCGAACTTCTGTGCATCTGTCAGCTTTTGGCTGTATCATATTTAGTGTAATAGTGATAGAGTTAAGATATTTTTACTTCTTTTTGTTTCTTTGGTGGATAAATTGTATTATTCCTTACTATTAGCTTCTGGCAGCATGGGTGCTCTTTATACCTTTATAAAATTCCTAATTTGTGTTGCTGATCAAGAAAAAGAAAAGAAATCTAATGGAAATATTTTCAACACTGATGGAGTGTTTGGATACCATCTGGAATTTATGGGTTTCTATTAGCATTTAGGATGGATCTTTTTTTTCTGGCTAATTAAAAGGGTAGGTTGAATATCTAAAATGAAACCAACTTCTATTTGTATTTAAGAGGACAAATCTTTTTTCTTTTATTGATTGGTTAAGAGGACAAGTTGAACATCTAAAATGAAACCAGTTTTGTTTGTTTGTTCCTAAAAGATAAAAATCACAAAATAAAATGAATCCATTTTAGGATTTCAAGGACTTTTTTTTTCATATACAGAATTAGAAATAACTCCATAGAAGATAACCAAAAAATGCTATGAAAAACGTAAATGAAACTACTTTATTTCATGTAGCTGAGCAGCTTGAGCAGTTTCACTTGTTACCCAAGGTTTTGACATTTATGGAATGTATTCTGGGAACATGAAGTAGATGATCATTATGGAAGTTTAGAAATGTAATACAAATTTTCATTTTCTCTGGTTATTTTTAAGTTCTCCTTTGGGTTCAGGCATTTTGAGGCAGTGGAGGCTAGATTTCTTCGTGCTTCATTCAGCGCATTTGTGGATGTTCTGACACTTGCCACCAAAACTATTGAAGAATTTGGACCAGGAATGGAATTATAGAACCTATTGATTAGCTTCTGATTAGAACTGATTTCTTGAAATTGTAAGTGTAATTTCAATCGAAACTCAACGTTCATGATATCAGAGCTTGAATTGTAATTGTTTGTATATCTTGGTTTGTGACCACTTACAGAAATGGTAGAATCACCATGGGGTAGTAGTACCATTTCACCTTCAAATTTATACTTCACTCTGTAATGTTATTCTTATTGTTTTCGTATCTCATTAATGTGGTCATGTAGGAAAGTATCTCCTGATGTGCAGTGTCACCTATTTAACAATTAACAGCCAGATTTATGGAAGGGGGATTCATACCAAACACAAATTCATATCGTTTTAGGCAGATTCTATGGTTAAAAGGGAGCACCATGTGGTAAATGCAACTTTAGTTCCAATTCAAGGTGGGGTATGGTGTTGAGAATATTCCCATCTGAGGTTGAATTGCATTTGTATCGTTTTAGGAAGATACATACCAAACACAATTTCATATCGTTTTTGCATTTGTATTTTTCGAAGATGATATGATAATTGAGTAGAAGTTGCCATGATAATTAAATGAGGTTGAATTTACTTGTATTGAACCCACATAACAGTGGTTAGATTTTAGAAACTACTCTCTTTTTCTTCCTTAAGCAGCGCAGTTGGATTGAAAATTGAAATCGTATGGTTCTGATCTTTTCATCGAAATAGATTGTATAGAATAGAACTGTCCCTCCCACTGTGGTTTGTCAACAAAACCTACTTCATTTTAAGTTTAGAAAATTGTTCAGAATACTAAACGTCAACCTGTTGGAGAATTAAATAATGTCTCGTCAATGTAGATTCATCTTGATTCTTGATGCTTTCTTAGTACCCCTGTTTCGAACTGAACTACCAATCCCCCAATTCTTATTTATCATTCCTTTAGTCTTACTCCTTATCGGCCATAACCTAATCAATCCACATTTTGACATAATATAACCTTAAAAAGCTGGAAGCTTTTAAAGTTTAGCTTTGAATAGATGGAACAAATGGTCACGTTATAGCCTTTTCTAATGAATATATTATTCTTAATTGACAGTCTTATTTGCTTCAAATATGAGTTTTAGTTATTTACAAAAATACATTTTTCTTTGTTGATAACTTTTAAAGTCTGTGAATTGCATGGTTTTCAAAACCGGAGCGGACCGGACAGTTGGACTGGAAAAACTGGGAACCGGTTAGGTGATCGGTTCCATTTTTCCCCAAAACCGGATATTTGCAAAAAAAAAAAAGTTGATTTGGTCAGCAAACCGCTGACCCAGGTGGTTGAACTGTTCAACAGTTTTGACCTTTTTTATTTTTTTTTGTCAGAACGGTAATGGTTGGACCATTCAACCCGGGAACTGGACCCTGACCGGTTTGGATAAGCTACAAAAGTTGAAGTCTAAAGTGTAGTTATAAATTATGGTTTGGATATATTTTCTTTCTAAAACAAAATATATCCACTCCTTATCCACTTCCATGTTTGTTTTCATTCTTTCATTAATTTTTCTACATCTAGCTAACGAAATCCAAATGTTGTCATTCTTTCCCTATAATAAGAATCTGTGGATTTTATAAATTATGGTTTGAATTCTATTGGTTAAAATTAATGGATACCCAATTCATGAACTTCTGCACATTCAAGAGAAATTTGCTAAAGACAAAATGTTTGGTCAAATTAAGCTGCTACACAAATCTGCCTTGGCTCAAATTCTAGATTAATCATGAATAGCTTCTGGGCCACAAAGTGCCAATCCATAATGAATATAAGCATCTTGCATCGTTATATTCTAACACTCATTTATGTAAGTAAATATATTACAATTGCTAATTAAGTTTCATCAAACCAACATTTTTAAACCAGATCCTATTAATTCTGCGCTACATTAACCATTACTATCATTAACTGGTCTCATCTAGCTTGCATAAAAAATGGATCCCACACTTCTTCACCTGTACTGCCTTCTCGTCAGGCGTGAATACTGGCTGATTCCCTTGCTTTTTCACTTTGGAAACTGACCCCAATTCAAATGAGACCTCCATTTGATTCCCACCACTTAATAAATTCTCAAATTGGGTACCGGGCATGTGGGCTACCCACATATTGTGTGTGTCATGGCGAAAGAGAACAGAGCCTCCATAATTAGCACTATATTTCCGCTCAACATTGTTGGTCTTATTAACAAAATAGGCACCAAGATTACCAAAAAAAGCAAATATTTTTTCGTCTCTGTCATCCACTTCATATACAGCAGATAAAATCAACCCTTGATTTACCTTGTGGTCTGAAAGTAGTGGAACCTCAAAAGATATTGAAGACCCAAAGCTCTGGTAATGAAACCACTTTGGAATATCACTCTCATAAAGGAACATTTCAAACTCACCATCTTCCGAAATAATCTGCCACATTGGAATCATAAAGCAGAAATGAATTTGCTCAATCAAAAGAGCAGACAGTTTATACATGCATTTCTAGATAACAATTCGATCTAAGTTCTAATGTAATGCAGAAAGAAAGAAAAAAAAAATACATTTTCTGGTACTGGTACCACAAAATGAACCTTTAACCGTAAGGGGGCGTTCTTTTTTTGGATTTTGAGAGGGTGAAAAGTTGGTTAATAGGAATATTCCCATTGACCAAGAATCACATGTTTTTTCAGATTTATGCGGGGATTATGAAAAGTTTATTTTCTTGGATACCACTTATCCGGGTAAGTGATACCCATCTCCTAAGTGGGTAAATAACTTTCTCACCTTGGGGGAAAGTTACCAACACTTGAATGGGACAAAAATGCCCCTTATAATAATGAATTTTTATGACTAAAATAATCTTTCTCCTATTTACATAGGAAATAAAAGAACATGGGTAAATAACTTACCGAAAAACGAACGGGGCCTAAAAGTTTCACTATAAGCAGTTTAGTGTTGCAAGATGAAACGGAAGGATAATATTTTAACAATCATGGTGCTGCTACCAAAATGTGTTTATGGTATCTCCTTATAAATTATTGGGCTCAATTTGGGAAGAGTGCAAATACAAATATGTTCCAGTGCAAAACCTTGTACATGGCATTTTGAAACCTTGTAATTGCATTGTACATATTTGTATTTGTTTGGGAAGATTATAAATACAAATATGTATAGTAGTGCAAATACACACAAAATAATACAAAATACATACAAGGTTCTGCAATCTATATATTTCTATTTATACGTACTCCTGCCAAACTTAGCCTTATGCGCAATTTATGGGACTTTATAGGCTATTATGTCATTTATTTTTTAAACTATAAAGTGGAAAGCTAGAATATCAAGGGTATATATGGAGAGAGAGAGAGAGATGATCACCTCGAGAGACTGCAATTTGCTAAGGTCCTGAAGCTCAAACATCTCGTCACAGCCATGAAGCTCAAATGGAAGTAAGTTTTGATTGTTTCGTATATTTGATAATCTCAATGATTTGCATTGACATACGCCTAATTCCTTCAAACTTGGAGGAAGTTTCGGGAGTGACTGAAGCCGTGTACAACGGCTTAAATCAATGCGAGTGAGTCGGGAGAGGGAACTGATACTGGATGCTTGGCCATAAGAGTTGTTTGAACTTGGATCCAAACCTTGCAAGGAGTAGGACAAGCTGGTAGAATGTGAGAAACCTTCCAACAATGTGCAACCAGGTGCATATAGCTCCTCTAAACTTGATGGAAGCTCTGGAAGTGATCGAAGCATTTTGCAATTCTGTAACTCAAGAACCTCGAGCTTGGAAAGGTGACTGATGCTGGATGGTAGACTAGTAAAATTGTTATAACTTAGATCCAACACTTCTAATGACCTTAAGCTCCCAATGTCACTAGGAATAGAGCCTTCTGACAGATTGCATTTGCTGAGAATTAGGCCACTTAAGGAGTATAAACCCGAGAAAGAATTGGGTAGGAGATTGGAATCAGGTCTACTCTTTCCTGGAGATAGCATAGATGAGAAGAACGAATGGAATAAATTATCTGATGATACTTTACATCCTTCTAAAGATAATATCTTGAGCTTCTTCAAGCGTAAGATGGAGTAAGGTAATTTTCTTATTCCACTTCCATCTACTGTAAGCTCCGTTAGAGATTCCATATTTCCTAATTTCTCCGGCAACTTTTCAAGCTTTGAGCACCCGGAGAGAATTAGAATTTCAAGAGATTTCAACTTACAAATGCTGCTTGGTAGATCCTTGAACTTTTTGCAGTCTTTCAGATTCAAAAAGATGATTCTGTCAAGGTGTTGAATAGAATCATGAACCTCAGCCAAGCTTGTACAACCTTCAAGGATCAATCTCTCAAGGTTGGGAAGTCCCAGGAAGTCCGGAGTCCTGGTAAGGTAACATGAATGACTAAGATCAAGCACTTTCAATTTTTCGAGCAACTGCCACCCACATTTGATAAAAGAAAGAAAGAAAAAGAGGAAGAAATCAGTTTCCATGCGTAAAAAAGATTTAGATAAACAAAACTAGTATTGGAAGATGAAGAAGATTTAGATAATTAAAAGCCGTATATATATACCATGATTTCCTTCCATACTTGTTTCATTCTGCTGTGTTGCATATCAAGAAAAACAAGGTTCTCTAGATTAAAATTGGATGGTATAAATGTCAAAGGGAACCCATGCCAACACAGCCATTTTAGCTCTCCAGAGACATTCTCGTAGGACCCCATTAACTTTACATAATCCATTCTGAGCAGTCTTAGTCTTTGCATCCTTGTGAATGCTTCAGTTGTCAACTGTACACTTAACGAACTGGATTGGTGGTTTTCCAGTACGATGCCTTCGATTGCTTCTGTTCCCTGCTGATAAGAAACATCAATGGGCAAGTGATTACATGCATATATATACTTTGCTTCAGTAGTCAACGATACATGTAATTAAGCTAATTAATTAAGATCAGAATATCTAGTCTTTATCTTAATTAATGGCAAGTCTACGAAGTGTCTGAACCGGCCCAATCTAGTCCTATGTAACTATCAAAGTTTTTGGTCATACAACTAGCTGGTTAATTCTTCTAATTTTGGATTCATAGACTCTACTACCAGACCTTACCAAGCTCGCTACCACCCTCGATCAATAGACAACCCATTTTCCCTTGCTGGGTCTGGACTATGGCTGCTGTTTCAACCCAACAAACTCAGCAGAGGAAGATGGAAAGATGTAAACCCACCCACCAGCACATTTCACTAAAGCCTATTATTGGGTCCTTGAAGATGGAACAATTGCAAGAGGTTGTGCTGTGCCACTTGGCTTCTGCTGTTTGCACCAAAAATGAAAAAGAGGCATTCATTCTTGTGGTAGTTAGGCTTTGTCAAGGGAAATTCCCAACCCAATTAAGACAGCTTCTTTACATTTATGGCATATATTAATATAGGTCTCACTCCTAATCCAGTTTGGTAAGTCCACTGCAGTGGCCCACTTATTTCTATCAGATGGGGAAATTTTGCTGCAGATCCCAATCGTCTATGGGTAGAGGATCCTGATCATCAAGATTGACCATATTCACACCATTGGTCGATATCATAAGAGCTTCACTTGAGTCACACAAACTGCCTACAGTATCAGTATTTTACTATAAATGCCCCAAAAAAGGGTTTACTTTATCCATCTGGCAAGAGGTTTCATGTAAAAATTTTCATCATAAATGCCAAAACCTATGACCAACATGCATACTACGGAAAAAAGAAAACACTTAAACCTCCCCAAAGTTTTTTATTTTATTTTTTTTTTTTTTTTGAGGGAAGATTCAAAGGACAAGAATCTTGAACTCCCTCTTTTTTTGTAGTCTTTTGTCTTCCTTGGTTTTTGTTTTTTGTTTTCTTGTAGTTTCTTGAAGCATGTGAATGCTTCTTATCCCACATTGTTTGGGAATATAGGAGAAAAATAATATTATACACCATTCACAAGCTTGTAGGGGGTTGGGGTGATTTTCACACATATGCACGACCAAGTTGGGCCCAGTCAGAGCGTGGGTGTAGGTGTATGTATACACTATCTTGGTAAGTTCCATTCTCCCTTCTCACTACTATGTTTACAATATGATAAAACCTCCCCTTTTGCACATTTCTAAAAGGACAATAACCTTCATTTTTTACTAGGTAAGATAAAAACGGCACTTATTCTACTGCTAATTACTATCAACAGGTGACCACACATGACATACTCAAGCAGAACAGAATGCTCAATGTTGATCTCAGATCCCCGTGGTAAATCTCGGGCCGACAAGTATGAGAATGTAATAGATTCAAGTTTGAGAATGGTCATTTTGTACAAAAAATAAATAAAAATGTCGAATATTAGAACCATATCCAGTCTACCCCTCCCAAAGACCTCAAATATCTAGGACTAATAACACCGAGTAATGACCTTCACTAATTAAAGGATCTGCCTTCTTCTCCACTATAAGAATATCCTGCAGGTACATCACCTATTGTTCAACATAATAAATAGATTTACTTCCGTGAGAAATCAAAATTGTTATGATACGCCAATCATTCAGGAACTCAATCAACAAGAAGATCCTTAAGTCAGATGCTCAGGCCGGATAAGGAAACCAGCGAAATGGATGGATGGAAATTATATTTATGACTGATTGGACTATGCATGGATGGCTTGCTAATAATCAGGAGCAATGAAGATTCCCTTGTCAATCATAGAACCGTTAGACATTTTAGGAGAGATTTACTTTTATTACCAGTGAGTTAATTAAAGAATGATGCTTTGTGGAAGTATTTAAATAGCTATGATTGTATTGGAAGATCAAGCCAGCATAAATAATAACAATCTTCTTCCCTCTTTCATCCGCTGTTCGTCACTTCCCTTCTATTCTTCTTCTCCCGGAGTCTGCACGCGCTCGAAATTGTGCAAAACTGATACGGAGACGTATCATGTTAATGTGAAACGAGGCACCAAATATGGGCCCAAATTACCTCCCCACTAAACTCTGCAGAACACCCTGAAACACTAGCATTCACACACACATTGAGAATATCTCCCCTACATGTATGTTAAATTCATGGGGAGGTGTTCCCAATATGCAAGTGTAGGATGCATGCAGAGTTGTGGGGAGGAGATCTCTTATCACCAAATATCCCTCTTGAAATCACTCCAGTTAGCAGTTGCAAGAAATAAATTCCATTCATTAATATAATTTTAAAAAATAGAAAACAAGTTTTAGATCATGTTTCAAACACTGATTAGGTCCAAATTTTACACATGGTATATTTGAAGGACAGACTTCAATATAAATGGTTTTGATTTACCACAAGACCATTAATTGGTATATCAATATAAATGGTTTCAAACCAGAGATCATGCAAGTAGGGCAGGTTTGAGATATTAGATTCAAACATGGAAAAACCTTAAGGCTATGTTTGGTCTGAAGGAAAAAGTAGGAAAAGGTAGGAAAACTTTTACAAATCTTGTATAGGCTTCCTTACCTTTCCCTACCTTTTCCTTCAAACCAAATATAGCCTAAGGGCATCCTTGATATTTCTTCTATTCTTTCAAAACTAATACATGCTTTTGAAGATTATGATAAAACTGAGAGATGATTTTAGTATCTGTTAAAAACCTCAGGGGACGTTTATACGCTCAGTTTGGAGAGTAAATACAAATATGTACACTACAAATACATATAAAATACAAGGATTTACACTCTACTTTTTTCTATTTGTACTCCTTAGGCTGAGTTTGGAAGGAGTATAAATGCAAATATGTAGAGTGCAAAACCTTATAATTTATATTATTTTGTATGTATTTACGCTGTACATATTTACATTTGTAAATACAAATATATACAGTACAAATACATACAAAATAATACAAAATGTAAGGTTTTGCACTTTACATATTTGTATCCAAAGGCTCAGTTTGGAAAGAGTGCAAATACAAATATGTACAGTGCAAAATCTTATATTTTGTATTATTTTGTATGTATTTGTACTGTACATATTTGCATTTGCATCCTGTCCATACTGAGCCTAAGGAAATTTTTCCTTCAAACAATTCATATATATATGTATGTATGTATGTATGTATGTATATTGTTTGAAGAGAAAAATTTGCAGCCAAAAAAAAAAACTCATTCACAAAATAAGAAATTCTTGCATTAACTATTACCTTGCATTTTTCCAACACGTAATAAACATCTTCATCAAGCCAAAGCCTACTACGTTTTCCAGGCTCCTTTGGGGATTCTTCACGAATGATATCTCTTCCCATGTCACGTAATAGATCATGCATCTTCACCTTGTCATTTTCATACACTGTGAGAAGAGACTTACGAACAAGAACACTGATTCCAATTTCTGAATGAAAACCACAACCATTTAGTATTGTCATTACATCGTCCTTGTACATCCCATTAAAGAAGCATGCAATATCAAGAAATATATCCCTCTCGCTATGATCCAGTCCATCAAAGCTTATCCTGAGTGCTTTTTGAATTTTATTGTAAGGAATTCTTTTTAGCTTTTCCAAAGCACTTCTCCATTCAGCTATGCTTCTTTTGTCATACAGAAAGGAACCCAAAACCTCAAGAGCTAAAGGAATGCCCTCAGCATATTGTGCTATTTGTTTTGAGATCTCCACATAATCTTCTATAGGATGGTCTTTCCCAAAGGCATGCCAACTGAAGAGTTCAGTGGATTCATCATCACTTAATTTTTGAACACTATACTTTTCATCCACTTTAACTACATCCAGAACATACTCATCCCTAGTTGTTATGACGATTCTACTTCCTGCACCAAACCAACTGCGTTCTCTAGCCAACGCATTTAGTTGGTTTTGATGGCGCACATCATCTAGAACAACAAGAACCCTTCTATTACAAAGTCTTCCTTTGATCAAATTAGCTCCTTCATCAATGTGACTTATCTTTAATTTTTCTACCCTAAGAATGTCTGAAAGAAGCTTTTCTTGTAACTGGACAAGACCATTAAGCTTCTCAGAGGCTTCTTTGACATCTGCAAGAAAGCTACTACCTTCAAATTGATGACAAATTAGATTGTATAGAGACTTGGCAATGGTTGTCTTGCCTATTCCGCCCATACCGCAAATCCCTACAATGCGAATATCATTTGACTGAAACTGAATGTTCAATAATGAATTCATTGCATCCACACAGGCGTCTATTCCAACTAGGTAGGTGGTAACATCCAACATCTTTTTGCTCAATTTAGTGAAAACCACTCCAACAATTTTTTTGATGAACATTGATTGATCCCTGTCCAATTTCAATCCAAATATTAAAACAATCACACTATAAATGTGTAGCAAGTTTAGATATGAAACATAAAATCAGAGACATAACATGTGTATGTCTGTGTCTGTTTGTGATGGCATGTGTGTTGGTCATTGTTTATTAAATGAGTCCACATCTGAATAAGATATTGCCTTTGAGCTTTGATCTATGGGATATTAAGGTTGTGTTTGGATATGGTTTTGGTTTTTTTAATTTTTCAGAGTATAAAAGCATAAAACTTGTTTTATGCTTTTACTGTATGCTTTTTCACTTTGGTAATTGTTTATTAAATAAACCCACCTCCGGATAAGTTTTTTGCTTTTAAGCATTATGGGAAAATGAACCAAAAAGTGTTGGAGCATTTGTGCAGGGTTGCTTTTAGAAACATTACAATTTGAATCCAAAATACTTTTAAGCCCCAAAAGCACAAATATAAATCTGAAGCTTAGCTGAACACAACCTAGTTTGGAAATATTCAAAAAAAAAAGTCCAAGTTTTATTATTGGGTTTGGAACTTAAACATGAAAAGGCTTCAATAAAGGAAAGTATTTTTATAATGCTCTATTGTATCTGGCCAAGCTTCTTTTGCGTAAAGAATAAATAGTTTCATCTGCTACAAGCTGTCCAAATTGCCATGTTTGATTATCTAAATATATGGAGGTAGGGTATGCAGAAACCTAAGACTAATAAAAGGGTGGCCTGCTGGAACTCAGAAGTCAAAACCAATATTCTAAATCTCAGATAATCCAACCATTTGAACCCAATATTTGAAATGATTTTTTACTTTATATTTATATTCAGATGTTGACTTGAAATATTAAAAAAGAATATCAAAAGTTCAAAACACTGCTGTGTTAGGACAGCAGAGCGAAATGGATTTCAATTCCGTTTCCACCTCAATTCTGCTGAAATGAAATGACTAGCCCCCATGGGAGAAATTCGATTTCTTCCCAGGGAGGATTGGTGTTACCTGTATGCAACATTCCGCAGATCCCACCCTGAGAGATTTGCTGCTTCAGTGAGAGCAATCCTCCATCCCTGCACCACCTTCATCATCTCCTCAGCCTTAAAACACTCTTCTCCGTGTCTGGCAAATGCTTCTGCAAAACTCCCACTCTGTTTCCGAACATCAGACGGATCGACATCATAGAAAACAGGCAGAACCAATTGGTTCATCCTTCTTCTACATTCTAGTATTCTCACAAGTGTGTCCAGGCACCATCTGGAACAAGCGTAGTTCCTTGAGAAAACTATGATCGAAACTTTTGGTTCTTCAATCGTGGTTTCTCTTCCTTTCCTTGTTTCTTCTATATTGCTGTCTCGGAAGGTGTGGATTCCCCGTTTGACCAAAGCGGTGTAGAGGCAATCAGTGAAGTTCCTGTTGCTGGGTTCATCTCTGAAACTCAGGAAGACATCATAGTCCCGTGGAGAAGTGGAAGAGAAGGCTTCATGGGTCGCCATTGCAGCCATGGACGAGCTGAAATGATAGGATGGTTTGATGGGCTTCGGCAATGGGTGGGATTTGAGAGCTCAGCAGACCTGCTCAATGAGAAAACGCCATTGTTATCTTGTTAATTTGACGACCATGAATCACGACAAAAGCAGTTGCTTCCATGAATTCTCTCAATCAAAGAGAATACGAATCAAGTGCCAATCACTGTATCAACCTTTAACTTTATGCTTTTCTTCGATGTATTTGTCTTTTTGCTTTTGGCTTTTTTTTTTCTTTCTTTCACAACTTACGTCTAAATTTGTAACAAGTGATCAAGCTGCCAAAGCAATGCAAGTGGGCAGATGAGAATGAGATGCTTGTGCAACGCAGTATAGACATTTTGGAGGGAGCCTACAAAGCCTAGCTAAGACACACTAGTTTTCTTGGCCCCACCAATCTACATCGAGTCGCAGGTACAACAGACTGATCTGCCACCATCCATATCTTCTTTCCTTGCATGGAGAAGAAACAAAGAAAGTGATTAATTCTTGGGAGAAGTACCAATCAGTTCAGATCAGAATTTACTAGGCCCAAAGTACAGGGGGAATGCATCCTGACCGTGAATTGATGCCAAATTCACGGGCAGGATGTGGTTTATAGAGGAAGAGGGCTACTTGTAGGGGGGGCTGAAACTCAGAATTCTGCAATTCTTTGCCTAATAGGCACTAGTGCTTTTAGGAATCTTTTAATGGAATCCCCCAAGAGGAATATGCTTTAGGTCCAAAAAGATTTTGATTCAACTGAGGAACCCTCTGGCGTGAGATTGGGCCATCAAACAAGTGAGTTGGTTATATATGATTTTAATATCACCTATCGTATATACTGTATGACAAAACTGATAAAGCTTTTTGTTTTTTTTTCTGGGTAACCAATAGAGAAACTATTTATTAAGTAAACATATTTACAAATCGGAACTCACCCACCCCGTTCAATGTTTGTAACAAGCCAACTTAAGTCCTTGGTGGCGGTGGGTTGACTCGAACCAAGCACCCTCTAGGGCACACAAGCTGATTTGGCCAGAGAGCTACTCCATTTGCCTCCCTGTACATACATGTCTAACATCTATGATATCATAATTCTTACTAAAATTTACAGTCCTTTGCAAGATCCTCTCCAAATACCATGGAGGCTGTGATTTCCTATGCAAAAAATCATGACACACAGAGTTGCTTAAAAATAAAAAATGAGATTCCCAATGCACATAACTTTTGCCAGATAAAGCCTTCTCGAGCATCTCTGGTTTCTACTGCTGCAAGCCTGCAAGAGTCGATATGCCGAAGGACTAGCAAAGTAAGGCACACATTTCCCTATTTCATCTCAAATAACACTACAAATGCCAGCATAGCCTGTTTTAGGATTAATTTAAACTAACCAACAGATGGTGGATCCATTTAATCATGGCTGTATAATGTCAACTTGATCTGTCATTCCACACAACAGAGTTGGCTAGCACAAATGCACAAATGATCCATGTTTTCTGCACAATTTGGTATGACCCACAAACATCGATTGTGAAAACAGGAACTGGTCCTTGCAACCATAGTTACAGTAAAATATGCAGGGATAATGCATCCATATCACCCAACCACCCCGAACCTGCCCCTATTAAACGTTTTCACTTGAGCATCTGCAATCTAACAATTGGAAAATCAGCCAAAAGTTACAATTGATATATGCCATTACATTCTTCATAAATTAATATAAATCTGAACAGAAATTGTTCCCCATGTTGAGATGGAATCTATATTTCCTTTACAAAGCCATAACCCATCACCATGGAAGATTCATAAACAAACAACAAAAGACTTAAGAGTCCTAGCTAGGCCAATAGGAAAAAGCACGATAATGCTAGCAAAAATGAGAGTGAGCTTATAAGCTCACAAAACTTGCAAAATTACTAGGATACTCCCGGGTAGTCATAAAAGACGATTAGAAAATTACCATTAAAGCTCTATAGGGATCATGTAAGGCTGCATGGAGATGTCATATCATCAAGGAGGAATGCAAAAAAGATCAGAGAGGAGACCAACATCATCATTCGGTACCAGAATACACGGAGGGAAACCAAGCTGCAGATTGGCTCACAAACCAAGGACACAAATGGACCATAGATGCTTCCAGCTCAAGCTCGTGGGACTTAGATTATATTATCCTCATAGATGCATTAGGAGGTCGCTTTGCTCAATTAGTTTAATTTCCCTTTTGTATCAAAACAAAAAAGAAGGCTCAGTTAAAACCTAGGCTGGACTATTGGTCCACATGGTTTAAGGAACTATCACCATGCCTAGGTTACAGAGACTGAATAATAAGACCAATTGTCCAAATGCATTATGCATATACAAAATGAAGAGTAAGTAATTTACCCAACCATTAGTGGTAAAATGGTATTATTTTTCCATTTGTTCCTTTGGATTCACTGCTAGAATAGGCTCAATCCTCAACCCTTCAGCATCTCCGAGGCCCTCATTAGACCAACCAGTACCGGTTCCTGCCCCATGGTCACCAATACTTCTCTTGGCTCCCCCTTTAATTGCTACAGGTCCATCTTCATCAATATCAACATCATATGCAGATGTGCATGGGATTGTTGCTTGGCTAGGTTCAGGATTCATCTCTTCAGCATCAAATACTAGATGGATTCCACACTCCGTAACGTGGACTCCTAATCCCATATCAAATGAAACCTCTATTTCTTCCCCACCTCTCAACTGATTCCCAAACTTGGTATGTGGTATATGGCTAAACCACATTTGAACCTGCTGAGTTAAAAAAACTGAGTTGAATGTTGGAGTGTAGCTCCAATCAATGCCATTGGTTTTATCAAAGAAATAGGCATAAGGAGTGGCAGTGGCCCCAATTAGTTCGCTGTTTGCTTCATAAATAGCACATATAATCAACCCAAGGATCTTATTTACCAGAAGTGGAGGCACCTCGAAAGATATCGAGGACCCAATACCCTGATGACTAAACCAATCTGGAATCTGGCTCCCAAAAAAAAAGATGTCAAACTCTCCACCTCCTGTGAACCTCTACTCCATAAAAAAAAAAGTATGATTAGCAATAGATGCATAGGTAGATATATAGATGTACATGGACACAAATACACATGCACAGAAGGAGAAGAGAGAAAACCTGAAAAGAAAGCAGCCTTCCGAGGCCCTGAAACTCAAGTAGCTTATTACAATTATAAAGCTCCAAAGTTAGTAAGTTATTGGTGCTTGATATATCTGATAGTTGTTCCAATGAACCAGAGCCAAATGCATCCAAAGACATTAAGCTTGATGGAATCTTTGGGAGTGACTGAAGGCCTGTACAACGACTTATGTCAAGGTAAATAAGGTCAGGAAGGCACCTAGAATGTGACAGTGTTTCCATTGATGTGCAATCAGCTATATACAACTCTGTTAAACTGGATGGAAGTTCTGGAAGTGACTGAAGCCTTGTGCAACCTTCCAACATAAGGAACTCAAGCTGAGAAAGGTGACTAATATTTTTGGGTAGGCTACAAAAATTGTTGTAGCTCAGATCCAACTCTACCAATGATGGTAGACTTCCAATATCACTAGGAATTGCACCCTCAGAAAGATTGCAGTCCCTAAGAAATAATGCTGTTAAGGACCACAAACTTGATAATGAAGCTGGTAGCATACTGATAGAATCAGCTCTCTTTCTTGGTGATACCAAAGGCAAGAATGAATGCCATGATTTATATAGTGATCCCTTACATCCTTGTAAAGATAAGACTTTGAGGTTCTTCAGAAATACAATAGAGAAGGGTAGTTGCTTTATAGAAGTACCATCAGCAGTAAGCTCCACTAATGATTCCATATCCCCCAAGTTATCTGGCAGTCTTTTAAGTCTTAAGCATCTAGTGAGAATAAGATTTTTAAGAGATTTCAATTTACAGATGCTACTTGGAAGATCCTTTAGGTTTTTGCAGTCTTTCAAACTCAAGAAAACAAGTTTGTCAAGATGTCCAATGGAATTGTGAAGCTCAACCAAACTTGTGCAACCTTCAAGGGTCAACCTTTCAAGACTGGGAAGCCCAAAGAAGTCTGGGATTTGGTTTAGATAATGAGAATGACTAAGATTAAGTATTTTCAACTTTGCAAGCATCTACATAAAATAAAAAAAAAAAAAAACAAAAAGCAAAAAATTAGTTTCCATGAAATATACGACTGCCAAAAGAAGGAAAACCTGAAATAATGACATACCTTGAGATCCTTCCATACTTGTTCCATTTTGCTATTTTGCATGTCAAGAGCAACAAGATTCTCTAAATGAAAACTTGACGGCATAAATTTCATAGAGAACCCATGCCAACAGAGCCATCTTAACTCCCTAGAAAGATGTTCATAGTCACCCATGAGATTAAGGTAATTGATCTGGAGTAGTCTTAGCTTCTTCATCTTTGTAAATGCGTCAGTCCTCAATGGTCCATCAACTAATCTAGATGAGTTTTCTAAGATTAGGCCTTCAACCACTTATGTTCCCTAATAAGAAACATCATTAGATAAGTGAACGTGTAATATATTCTTCATTATTGTATCTTGTAAATGCATTAGTATTTAACTAGTTGAGCTTGACTAAATTAACACCTCTTGCTCCCTGATAAGAAACATTAATAGATAATTGGACATGTAATAAAACATTCCCACCCACACATGCCATTTTCTCTACCAATAATAAACATATGGTTCTAGGTCGAACCTTTTATTTTTTGTTAAAAATTGAGGAAAAAAACGGTACAACCGAAATGGGAGGGGAACCTTACGACTAACACCTATTAAAAAATAGAATATCTTCACAAACTATAATTGACTACCTTAAAGGAAACAAAAATAGACCTCCAATGGAGAATTTATACAATAACTTTAAGGCACCTGAAAGATGGCTCAAGAAGCCCTACCAAACTGATTAGGGAAGATTAGAATGTCTTAACCCCTTCTAATCAGTCAGCCCAGCTTTATATAAAACTTTAAATAGTCTGAATTACAAATATACCCTTCTTTATGAAAAACAGTGGATTAGAGTGTCCTTCAAGATTACTAAACTACCTTGCCACCCAAATACATGTAAAATAATGTTCTTTAATCGTCTCTTTTAACACTCCCCCTCGAGCTGGTGCGTATATATCAAGTAGTCGTACAAGACTAAGAAACTCTTTAGGTTTTGAACAGAAAATGAAAGAGGAGAAAAGAAGAAGAGAAGAAGCATTTGTGGGAGAAGCTTTGAAAGAAGAGAATGGTTGGAGTGCTTAAAACAGCTGCCCCACTCCTTAATTTATATACATGGTTTCCTAATTGTAAAAGAACTTTAATGCTTACATGGCAATAAAAGATAAGATTAAAATAAAACTAATCCAAGATAAGATAGAATAAAACTTATCCTTATCCCACTAGGAAAGCTGATCCTAATCAATTAAATCTAAGTGCATCTCGGGGTGTCACACAAATACTCTCAATGTAGGGTCCACAGTTTCCTACACTCCCCCTCAAGTTGGATAGTAGATATTTGTCATTCCCAACTTGCATAGATCTTCTTCTAACTTCTTTCTTGAAACAGCCTTGGTGAGAAGGTCTGCAAGCTTCATGTCGAAGGTGATGTAGGGAAGGCATACTTCTTGAGATGTAACCCTTTCTCTGATAAAATGCCGGTCCACTTAGATATGCTTAGTTCTGTCATGTTGTACTGGATTATGGGCTATATTGATGGCAGCCCGATTATCACAATACAACATTAAGGGTTTCTCATAAACAATACCCAATTCCTCTAGTAATGACCTAAACCATAGAATCTCAGCCACGCCATTTTCCATGGACCTATATTCAGCTTCAGCACTTGAACGAGAAACAACACTTTGTTTCTTACTCTTCCAGAAAACCAGATTACCTCCAACAAAGGCACAATATTCAAAGGTAGATCTTCGTTCATCAACACACCCAGCCCAATCAGCATCTGTGTAGACTTCTATCTTCATGTGGTCATTTTTCTTGAGCAAAATGCCTCTGCCTGAGGACCTCTTCAAATATGCTAATATGCTTGCAACTGCAAGGAGGTGAGTAGTTCTAGGAGAGTGCATATACTGACTAACTACACTGACTGCATAACTGATGTCAGGTCTTGTGAGGCAAAGATAGAGAAGCTTTCCAACTAACCATTGAAACATAGCTTTATCTTCAATAGGCTCTCCACCCTCTGCACTAATCCTGTGGTTCTATTCAATAGGTGTGTCTGCAGGCTTAACTCCCAACTTTCCTGTTTTTTCTAGCAAATCAAGAGCATACTTTCGTTGAGAGACAAAAATCCCATGCTTGAATCCAGCTACCTCAATGCCCAAGAAATACCGTAATTCCCCCAGATCTTTTACCTCAAACTCTTGATGAAGGAGTTGCTTAAAAGACTCAATTTCACTAGTATCACTCCCGGTTACTATAATATCGACCACATACACGGCAAGCAAGGTTACAGAGGAACCCACTCTCTTAATAAAAAGGTGTGGTCTGACTAAGCATGCACATATCCGAACCTATCAAGGGCTCATCTGAATCTGTCAAACCATGCTCTGGGGGAATGTTTTAGTCCATATAGAGCTTTGTTCAACCGACAAACATTTCCTGTCTTCGTACCATAAAATCCTGGAAGCAACTGCACGTAACTTCTTCCTGCAAGTCTCCATTGAGAAAGGCATTTTTAACATCCATCTGATAGTGGTCATCTTTGCTACTCGTGCAAAAGTATCTAAGTAGTCAATACCATATGTTTGAGTAAATCATTTTGCAACTAATCGGGTCTTATACCTTTCAACAGAACCATCAGCATTATGTTTCACAGTGAATACTGTTTTGTAATGGTAGAATACTGATTTGTTTCATTCTATTGCCAATGGGCATATTTATACAGTAAGTTGCTGCAATAAATAGAAAGAAAGAAAAATAGAAAGAAAAGAAAATAGAAAGAAGAAAAAATAGAAAGAAGAAAAAATAGAAAGAGGAGAAAATAGAAAGTACAAAAATAGAAAGAAAGAAATAGAAAGAAAAAACCTTCTAAATCAATCCT